AAAAAAAACCCTTCCGCGGGCCCAAAAAGGGGGGGTTTTTTTTCGGGGGGGGGGGCTTTCCCAACCCTCCCCTTCCCTCGGGGGGGGCGCCCCTCCCCGAATCCCTTGCGGGGGGGGTTCAAAAAGAGGGTTTTTGGGCCCCCCCCCCCCCTCAAAGCCCGGGGGGGCCCCTGGCCCCTTCGGGGGGGAGAATGGGGGGGTTTTCCCCCCCCGGTTCCCGAAAAAACCGGTGTTTTTTGTGCCCGGGTTGTCACCCCCACAAACACCGCGTTTGACAAGAGTTTTTTTCTTCCTCTTTTTTTGTTTCGGGGCCTTTTTTTCTTCTGTGGCTTTTTTTTTTTTTTTTTTTGGGGTGTTTTTTTTTTTTTTTAGAAAGAGGTTTTTTTTTGCTTAAATTTTTGGAGGGGTTTCCCCCCGGGTCGCGGGGAACAGGACCCCCCCCCCCCCCCCCCCCCCCCCCCGTCGGCTGTGTGTCCATTAGACCACGAGGGAAACCAAGACGATATTTTCGATGTCGTTTGGAGGGGGATGCGAGACGGACAAACGTGTCTTTAGTGCGCCTCCCCTCCCCTCCCCACGTACCGAGATACCCTCCTGTCCCCATCCTCTACCACTCGGACAGCGTTTGAACCTCGTTGAGCGGTGGTAGTGCAGCTAAGACAACAGCGCAACTCCCCCCCCCCCCCCCTGCCACCTTTGTGTACAACCACCGAAGCAGACTTAAGACCTTGACAATGGTTCGAACCCTCCAAAGTTGTGTTTTACAAGCTGCCAAAATATTGATGAGCCCTGAAGTGGTATGCATAGCGGCTGCTGTATGTGTACCCGCCCGGGAGGGGTCTTGGCAGAAGAAAAATAGTCCAAGCGCGCCACCTTCCTTCGTTTCATGTGGCCTGTCAATTTACGCGGGTCCTGTGGAGACGTGCAGCAAGTGTGCGAGTGTTGGCCACGTTCGAAACTGGTTGTTTGCAGGCTGTTTCGAATGTGGTCGTTTCCCGCTTATATGTGGGCAGCTTCCGGGGTGGGTGGGTGGGAGGGAGGGAGAGGGAGAACACAGACAGCCGCACACGCGTGTCTGTGGTCAAGGGTATGGTGGGAGGCCGCACGAATGCAGATGTGGTGCGGAAACAAGAGACCTCGCCCGCACCCTCCCTCCCTTCAGTATCTGAATAGCTGAACAGTGTAGGTCGGTAGATGGCGAACGAACAAGTCGCAACCACGTAAATCGTGAGGGAGGCTTTTGCTACCGTGGCGTGCTGCGGAGCCAACGGAAAAAAAATAAAGGTCTGGCTCGCGACGCGCCTGACGGAGTGCATCCCGTGTCTGCGCCGGCCGGGTCAATGCGACTGTTACCGGCCTAGCCGACCAGTGGCCCCACAGGAAAGGGTGAATCACCTTTACGAGATGCAGCGCAGCTGGTGCTGTCTCCTTTCCCCTGCCCGGTGTCGGGTCTGTCTGAGGCTGAGGCTGACAGGAACATTTTGATCCGTCTGGGCGCGCGAAATTACGGAAAGGCGGCGGGAGAGAGCTTGCCGTGTGCAGGCTGATTGATTGGTGACGTTTCGGGCGCACCGCGGCAGCAAGAAAATATAGCGGCGTTTGAGCGACATGGCTCGTTCGTTAGTCTATGGTAGCACGCTCCCCCGGATCGGTCGTATCGATTTCCTCGATCGGGACGGTTTCTCGTGTGCTACTGTAGCATCACCTCGCGTCGGCGTTTCTCCGCCTGCATGCGGTGCCTACCTTCGCGCATGCCGCTGCTTTTCGTCTTCTATCCCCTTCCCCCCCCCCCTTCCCTGCCCCCGTTCACGCCCGTTTTTTGCGAACAGCGGTGGTGTGTGCTCGGCGTCAGATTTTCGTTAGTTTCCCTTTGGGTTTGTGTTGGTCCTTCCTTCTCCTCCGCTTGCGTGCGTGTCACTGCAGCGAGGGAGATCAGAATTTCACCGGCCCTGGGGCTGAAGGAAGGAGCCTACCGACAACAGTAATTTTTTTTTTTCTCAACCTTGACTTGGCTTTTCGAAGACGCCTCCTCGGCGACGGACGAGAAGGCCGTGTTTTGCGTGGCGTTGTCCAACACGGCGTCGAAAATTAGTGACCTAGAGACACGAGGCAGCGCTAGGGCTCGCCTCGCTTTTCGCGCGTGTTTTTTTTTGTTGGCGCGTGCGTCGCGGCCCCAACTATTAGCAGCGCTGCTTACATGACAGCGCGTCCTACGACGGGTTGACGCAGTTTGCATACTACCATCCTCTACTTTCGTAGACTGCGCACTGTCATGGTAGTGCTGGTTTTGTTGCTAGAAAGGCGATGGAGGGGGTGTGCTTGCATGTTGCCCTCGTGTGTGCCTCTCAGCCGTCTTCGCGCAAGCAAATTGTGTGGCGGCGTCGGGGGGGCCCTTCAACCCTGACGCTGGAGACATGAGAGAGCGAGAGAGAGCGCGCGAGCGGATCGGGGCGGGGCTCCGAGATCGGCTCCGTTCGCCCGCCCTCCCGCGACACGTGTAACCGCTGAAAGTCGGACTGTTTTGCAGCAGCAAAGGCCAAACAAAAAAAAGACCGAACAAAGAGAGAGAGAGAGCAGGTCTCTTTTGATGGTGCCATGGTATAATGCCGCACGCACGGGGTTTCTGTGGATCCGCAGACCCGTCGCGGTCGTTACATGCATCATCCCAGGCGAGTGGCCTCTTTTTTTGTATTTTTGCTCATATTGTTTGGTTCTGTTGGACCAGAGCAGCAAAAGGGTATGTATCGGTGAGTGCTTCGCGCTCTTGTCCGGCTAAGGTGGAGGTGTCTTGTAACGGCGGGCTTGTGACCCGTCGCAGCCTCCACCCACGTCTACCCTAGACGCATGTCCGTATGTTGCAAGGCAGCATTTGTTCCCTGTTTTTCTCGCCCGTGTCGTTTCTCGCTTCTTTGGGTGCTGGAAGCATGTCTCGCACGCGGAGCGTTATTATTGTTTTCGTTGATGAAACCTAGGAGGGCGCGGAGTAGGTTGACCGAATGACTGCCTGCGATGGATTCAGACGTGAAATCAGGCCAGCGCCAGTATTGGTCTCCCGGCCGTGATAGGGTGACCGCCCTTTCATCGTTCTGCCGTCGCTCCCGTCTTTCGCGTGACCCTTGGCAGCATACAGGTGTAGTACCTGCTGTTGTCTTCAATTTGCGTGCCCCCCTTGGGCGCCCCCTACTAAAAGTTATGGTGTTTGTGTGCTGTAAATAGTGCCGTTGTGCTGACATTTCTCGTGGGAATTCGCCTCCGACGACTTCCACCGCGCCTTGGCTCTCCGCGAAAACCGCGGCGCGATCTGGTCGGCACGGCGATGCCCCCCCTCCCCCCCCCCCCCCTTTTGCCTCCCTGCGCGTTTTGTCCGATGTACCTTTGCGGGTGCGGTGCTCGCTTGCTGCGGCGGCGTGTTGCTGTCTTTTTTTTTTGCTTCTTCCGGCAATGTCGTCGCTCTGTCTTGACGGGTTTGGTTCGGCGTCTCCTTCTTCTTCGTGGATCGTCTTCGTCTTGTACGTTCGGCCGCGACCATGCTGTTGCTGCTGCTGCTGTTGCTCCTGCTGCGTTGGGGTTGGCAAATCTGTACCACCAACCAAAACGACGATGGTGATGACGACGACGAGTACAGCCGTACCTAGAGCAGGGAGACGGCCCGATTGTCCTGGTCGTGGCGCCTACCCGCGAGCTGGCGGTGCAGATCAAGGAGGAGTGCGACAAGTTCGGCAGGTCTTCGGAGATCAAGAACACGTGCGTCTACGGAGGCGTGCCCAAGCGGATCCAGGTTAACGACCTGAACCGGGGGGTCGAGATCGTGATCGCCACCCCCGGCCGCCTTATCGATCTTCTCGAGTCGGGAAAGACTAACCTTCGCCGCGTCACGTACCTGGTGAGTGTATGGTTTGTGCGTGTGCGTGTTACTGCATTGGAGTCCGTGCACCCACCCATGTGTTTTGTGGGTGTCCTTTTATTTGTGGGCATCGACCGTGTGCTAACCGGCTGACGAAATAGCGAACGTCAGTCTCAGTGAAGCTGAAAAGCGCTTGTAACGTGTGTGTGTGTTTTCGGAATTATTTGTCGGTTGTGTCATGGACTGTTTTGCTCTGCATGAGGGAGTGCCGTGGGTGTCGCGGTCTCGTTGGGTGATGTAGAAAATATGGAAGTTGTATTTTTGTAGGCGTTTGGTTCAAATTATCCGTTCGCCCCGCTCACCGTGATGTGCACTCAACAGAGGTGGGCCAGGCTCTATCTATGCTACTGCGATAGTTGAAACGCACCAAGCTGGGCGAAGCGACATGGAACCGTTCTCCTTTCGCCGTAGACAAGATGATAGGGCAGAAGACGGTCACTTGTCTTGTCCCCCCCCCCCCCCGCCAATCATATGCCAACACTTACCCAAGGTGTTACCGACACTTACGAATGGTATTACTGTGTTTGATGCACACCCCAACCTGCTGTACACGTGTTTTGAAACACAGGTTCTGGACGAGGCAGACCGCATGCTGGACATGGGGTTCGAGCCCCAGATCCGCAAGATCGTGAGCCAGATCAGGCCCGACAGGCAGACGCTCATGTGGAGCGCTACCTGGCCCAAGGAGGTGCAGGCGCTGGCGCGTGACTTCCTGCACCACTACTACCAGGTGCGTCTGTTGATTTGTTTGTCAGGTTGTTTGTTCGTTGGTTGGTTGGATCTAGGAGGTGTTCGTGGTTCATAGGTTTTGAGATGGCTGTGTAGATGATGTGGTCTGCCCCTCTTGAGGTTGTCGGCAGGTAGTCGTCGAGGTTGGAAATTGGAGCAATACTCCTTTTTTTTTTAGTCTGGTGAACAATTGGTTGTTGTTGTGACAGCGCGAAGACCTGGACAGTTGTCGGCGTTGTGGGACGATTGGTGGTGGGTGAGCGTAAGGAGCTCTGCAGCATGTTGACAACGGCGGCGGCTGTGGCGGCCGTTTGCGGTCACTGTCGCTTTTCTTGGAGCGGAGGGGCACAATTTTTGTGAGAGCGAAGGGGCACAGCGGTAGTGTCCACAACAACGCGCGTCGTCAGGACGAGGTACAGGTTGCTGTGGGCGCATGTAGAGCGCGGGTCATCCCATCCGCCGGTAAAAGACGAGTTCTGTCGTCGTTTCGGCCTAGAACGGCAGGTCAAGCGTGTCGAGGACAGCGGCCACCGGTTGAATAGCGTGCTCGCCACGATGAATCGATCAACCGGTCGCTATGCATGCACGTGTGTAAAAAAACCAACCCCCCTTCGTCGCCATCCTCTCTTTTTTTTTTTTTTTTTTTTTTTTTTTTTTCGCCTCTTGCAGGTGACGGTGGGATCCCTGGAGCTTGCGGCGAACAAGGACATCAAGCAGATCATTGAGTGCACGGAGGACTTCAACAAGTACCGCAGCCTCAGCAAGCACCTACAGCAGCACGGCCACAACGGCAAGGTGCTGGTGTTCGTGGAGACCAAGAAGGGCTGCGACGCGCTCACCCGGTCCCTCCGGCAGGACGGCTACCAGGCCCGCTGCATCCATGGCGACAAGACACAGGAGGAGCGCGACTACGTCCTCAAGGACTTCAAGGGCGGGAACTTCCAGGTGCTGGTGGCAACGGACGTGGCCGCGCGCGGGCTCGACGTGAAGGACATCCAGATGGTGATCAACTTCGACTTCCCCAACAACATGGAGGATTACATCCACCGCATCGGGCGGTGCGGCCGAGCGGGCGCCAAGGGCGTGGCCGTGAGCTTCTTCGGCTCCAAGAACTCCCGCAACGGCCGCGAGCTCATCAAGATCCTAACCGAGTCGGAGAACCACGTCCCGCCGGAGTTGCAACAGATGCAGATGATGGGTGGCGGCGGCGGGGGCCACAGCCGATACCGCCGCTAGGCCTAAAGGAGCAGAACGGGAAGAGGGGCGTTTTGATTTTTGCTGAATTGGTCGGCCGGCTTTTGCTCGCGGGATATTGGGGGGGAGTGCGTGGTGCGATCGAAACATGTACTTCTGGTTGACTTGAGTAGGCTTATATTCGTCGGAAGGTTTTGTGCTCCCTTTCTCGGTCGCTGCGGCGGCGGGTGTCGGTGTCACAACAACGAAGTCTCTCGAGAGGGTTCGGGGGTAAAGCGGTAGATGGAGGTTGTGGAAGAGTGCCTGGTGTTGAAGACGGGCATGCAGCGGGGTGTTTTCATAGCGACTGACTGACTGCTTGTTGATGGGGGGGGGTACGTAAGGCGTTGTAGGGTTTGGGTGCTGGCGACGATGGGTCTACTTATGATTAGATAGTGTGCGTTTTTTTAAGGTCGGAGGTACATAGTTGTGTCGGCCTCTCTCTTCGAATTGGTCTGGGATATATTTTCTACTGTGAATGTTTTTTTTGTTTTTTGTCTTGTTTGTTTCCGCCGCCGTGTGGAAACAGCAGTCTCGTTTGCACGACCCTCCATCTCTTGCCCCTGGGCAAATAAAATAAAGGAAAAAAAAGGCCGTGTTGCTTAGACGGCTTACGAGTTCGGTTTTGTGCGTGCCCCTGCGCGCGGCGGCGGTAAGGTAGCAGAGCGCGCGGGTAGTACGTATGAAACCGCTGTGGCTGTCTCCGACGGTCCTTGTTGCGGTTTGTTGGTTTGGGCGCCCTCTGTGGATGTATTGGGGGGTGCCGTCGGGCTCTATTCGTGACGAGCGACGAGAGGTGAAGGAAGGCATTGTTACGAGGCCGCGGGGAGGGCGGTAGAGAAGGCCGGCCAGTTAAAGACGGTCGACAAAGGAGATGGGTCTCACACGTCCGGTGTTGTTCCGTCGTGCCGGTCGCGAGGCAGGCACCGTTTTGGGAGCGACAGCTCCAATGTTGCGCCCGAGGCGAGAGATGTGGTGTTGGCGTTGTTGGAACAGGAACGAGGAGCTTCAAATATGTATGCTGTCAAAACACTGATGGACGAATCACACAACAGACGAATCGTGTGCTGTTTCTGTTCTGTCGTGTTTGGGAGTGTGCGTTGGGGTGTTGCTGTACCAATCAAAGTGTTTCGCGTATCTATGCGTCCATGTCTCCATAGTGTCAACTTTCGTCCGTATGCCACGCATTTTTTGTCGCTGGGTATGTAGTCTGTAGTACGGAAGAGGCGGTCTCTTTCGGGGCCCCCTCCAGCTTAGCGCGAATTCTCAACGCAGACCTTCTGTCAGTCTTTCAACAGCCAGCAGCCGTTGGAGGCGTGTTGGGCCAGTAGAGGACGTGTCCGGTTGACTTACCGTGGTAGCGTGGTGACAGCAGGAGTAGGGAGTAGCTGAAAATGAGAATCGGGCAAGAGAGACTTTGCGGGTGGTGGACGGAGAAGTCGTGGACGATCGGTTTCGTCTAAAGGGGATAGCGTTGGCCGCCAACCATTGGGTTGAGTAACGATGTCGGACATGCCGGCAAGAGCAAAAGAGAACGCGAGGGCGCTGTGGCTCGGGAAACAATCGAAGAAATCACCATATCTAGTATTTGTTGCTCTTTTGTGGGAAGCATATAATTTCGAGCCCCCCATCACGTAGTTTTCCATCAGCCGGGGTGGCGGCAAGCCGTCGTGCACGTCTCTACTCGTTTTGGTTGGAAGTCGTCCTTCACTCATTCGCGTACGGTCTCGCTTCATGATGCGAGGACACAAGAATGTATCCACGATGTTAAACAAACTACGAATCCACCATAGCGTTAGTATTTCCCTCTCAGAGACCGTTTTAGCTGAACTCCGAGGCGCGAGAAAAATCATTCCGTGGTCGTGTTGCAACAACTCTACAAGTTTGAGCTCGATTGGTGCTTCCTTCGTTAGCGTCTGGCTGTGTCGGTGTTCAACCGTCTCAGCTTGGCATCCGTACCTGTACTCCCCGGAAAGCCGTCGGGGGGTGATATGTCCTTGAAGTGACTGCCCGTGATCGGCTCCCCTATTTCGTACAGTGATTGGGGCAACCGCAGGTGGGATGACTCATTGGTGTAGTCCTGACGACAACATGTTGTTGATGGTCGCTGGGGCGCGCTATTTTGCGAGGATAGATGATCTCGTCGGTGATCTTGAATGTAGTCCTTCGAGTTCCAGCGCCGCCTGTCCATTGCCTCAGGCGCCGCGTGCTAGGTCACCATCGGAGCCGCCGACTTCCCCTTGGGGAGGAAGGAACAGGATGGCGCAGTTCCCGGTGGCTGGCTGTACCCAGACTACAACCCAAAGGGATGGCTGCCGCATCCGTCACCATCAGATACCGCGTCAGTCCCGACCGACCTCTTTGGTGCGTCCAAGATGATCTCGAATACTAATAGACTACAGTTATGTAGTTAGCGGCAGAGATAGGACACCCCCCCTATACTGTACATAGGCCGATTTTCTAAGCTCGATTACCCCACAACCAAGCTTGTGCCAACACCAAACACCGGTGACTTGGAAACATCTCGTCGACGGCTTTCCGTCCGCGCACTGTGTTCGTTCCGCACCCTCTTGGCTGTGGAGTATTTCGAGCT